GTTTAGTATCCCTGGACACAAAAGTCAACAATAATCTACCAGATTCCAGAAGGCAACCTGTACTTATTGGAAGATATTAATATTAGTATAAAACGGTGTGTAAGGGAGGGCCATGGTACAGCCATAAACGCAATGACCTCCCATGGCCAGCTGCCTATTGGTCAGATGGTCTCTGACAAAGCCCCCCTGATATCAGAAAAGAAGGAGACTGCTCCTGAAGTTGACAGCTCTGGAGTACTCTAACACCCTAGTACAAACTAAAAGAATCCCTGTCTCTTGAAGAGCGCTATGGTAGTATAAATCACTGAATATACTTGTCTGTGGTGACAGTGTGTGTGTACAGATGTTTATTTGAAAATCCTAGCTGGTATTGCTAATCTTGTGAAATTTTCCTGCTTTTCGGTAAAAGCAGGTAGTATGGGTTTAAAGAGTTAACTGCTTAGTTAACCAAATCCAGTGACAATCACTCACAGGCTGTGGACACCTAGATCGTGGTCTGCAAGCTAGAAAATCTTTGTGTAGTGTAGTGCTGAGAGTGGCATTGTTGCGTAAGTGACAGCACAGTGTGAGGCTAACCAGTCTGTCACAGGTTGGTGAGAAGAGCGGTGGTCTGACACCATGTGCATCACATAGTGAGCTCATTTTATCTAGCCTGCCCTGTTGAGATGAATTAACTAAGCCAGTCACTATACTCTGCAAATGTTTTGGAGGCAAACAAGTACATGCACACAAAAGGCAGATCCTTTAAATAAGTTTGAGTGAAAAGCCAAAATAAATGTCCATATCTTGCCAATTCACAAGCATGACCCCTTGGCATACAAACAGGTCAGGGATCTGTAATATAGAGCTGTTAGCACTACTGCTGCAAATTGACAGATCCTCAGACAGCAGACACTTGTAAACAGACTGGACAGGGTTTATGAGTGACACCATATTTGGTCAATGGTGTTACTCAGGATCCCTGACAAGTTTTTTTTCACAAACACCAGCCAAAAAGGAATCTATAATTTTGCATTGCAGTGCAGAGCAGCAGCGTTGTACGATGGTAGGTGACAGGTTTGCCTCTTATAGACTTCAATAGGAATTGGTGTTATATTTGAGTATCATAAATTTCCCACCAGGTTTAAAAAGTCCAGCAAACCAAACTTTGAATAGTTTTCTCATACTGTACCTAGTAGCTCCTACGGGTGAAGTGTACTGCAACAATGGTTGTAGTTAGAGATGAGCGAATCGAACTTGGCGAAGTGGAATTCGTTTCGAATATTAGGAAAATTTCGATTCGCGACGAATCCGAAAATTAGCAGACTTCGGATACGCGAATCGAAATTTTTCCAAAAATGGCGGCGACATGTGCGGCGACGGAGCGGGGATCTCTGGGAAGGCGCGCAGACAAGGCGCGCTGACCCATAATGCATTCATTCATGACATGTGATCGCATTAGCCAATCATCAGCCAGCCAGCCAGCACTGTGTAATGGTCGAGCTATAAATTGCGGCCATTTTAGAATTCTCCATTTGCCTCCAGTCATTCAAGAGAGGCAGACCTGGCTGTATTGAGGGAGAGAGTTAGGGACACAGAAACGTTACTTAGGGCCACAGAAACGTTACTTAGGGACACAGAACCGTTACTTAGGGCCACAGAAACGTTTACTTAGGGCCACAGAAACGTTACTTAGGGCCACAGAATCGTTACTTAGGGCCACATAAACGTTACTTAGGGCCACAGAAACGTTACTTAGGGCTACAGAATCGTTACTTAGGGCCACAGAACCGTTACTTAGGGCCACAGAAACGTTACTTAGGGACACAGAATTGTTACTCAGGGACAGACACAGAATTGTTACTGAGGGACACAGAATTGTTACTGAGGGACACAGAATTGTTACTCAGGGACAGACACAGAATTGTTACTCAGGGACAGACACAGAATTGTTACTCAGGGACAGACACAGAATTGTTACTCAGGGACAGACACAGAATTGTTACTGAGGGACACAGAATTGTTACTGAGGGACACAGAATTGTTACTGAGGGACACAGAATTGTTACTCAGGGACAGACACAGAATTGTTACTCAGGGACACAGAATTGTTACTCAGGGACACAGAATCATTGAATTAAAGAGTATGTCAGACAACATGCAGAGGAGTGGCAGAGGAGACAATGTTTTAGGAGCGAGCAGAGGTGGCAGCAGAGGAAGGGGTCGAGGCAGCACTAGTCGCAGCCAGAGGCCAGTGCTCCCGGTGTCATCCAGCGGTCGTGTCTCCACCGACAACCCTGCCGTCATCGATTGGTTGGCTCGGTCGTCTTCCTCTTCCCAGGTCACCTCTGACACCTACAGCCAACGGTCGGTGGGTACGTCAGACACAACCGTTAGTTGGCATGGCCCGGGAGCAAGCCCACTGAAATCACGTGTCCTCTACCTGCCCCTGTCCTTTGGTGTTCCCTCACCAAGCGAAGTATCGCATGCTGTGGGCTCAGCCCCACTGTACAGTGAGGAAGAGCTAACAGAGGGCGGTCAGGAACGGGGGGAGACATCCGCCTCTTCAGCAGCCAGGCGAAGAAGTAGTGGCGAGGAGAGTGGCTCGGTAGCCGGTCTAGAGACAGGTCTGTCTCCTGACCCACACGCAGCCGAGGGGGCTAGTAGTGAGGCGGAGACCCTAATTGATGATGATGAGGCTGATCGCACTTGGCAGCCTCGTCGTCATCAGGCTATTGCTTCCGCATCATCAGGAGAAGAGGGTGGCAGCTTGGCAGCGAGCAAAACAGTCGGTGGGTTGCCCAGGAGGCAGCAGGGTCGCAGCAGTGTCAGTGGAGGCAAACGGCCACGGAGTAGAGCACCAGCTCCACTGCAGCCTACCACCACGGCCAGTAGTGGTGCCGGTGTGCACGGAGGAAGTAGCAGTCAGCCAGTGAGGAGTATCGGGGGCAAAGTTTCCTACTCGGCGGTGTGGCAATTTTTCGTCAAGCCGCCCGAGGAAATAAACGTAGCCGTATGTCGACTATGTGGCCAGAAAGTCAAGCGTGGCCAGGGGGCCCATGTTGGGACTACAGCGTTGCGTCAGCATATGCAGCGTCGCCATTTGGTGGCCTGGGAAAACCGTGATAAAGATACGGCGGTTCTGCCTGCCCAGCCCCCGCTCCATCACCCGCTCCGTTACTTGCTCCGTCACCCAACGTCAATCGCACTCTATCAGCCAGTCAAGGCTCCAACACCTCTGCTGAGGGGAGTTGTCGCTCGTTGGCATCTTCCGCTCGTTCAGATGCTCCTTCTCCTGCTACTCCTCTTCACGGATTCCGTCAGCAGTCTTTCTTGGAATCCGTTTCCAAGAGACAACAGTTTGCGAGCACGTACCCGACGGTGCAAAAGCTGAACGTCCTCCTGTCCAAGTTGCTGGTGCTGCAGTCCCTCCCTTTCCAAGTGGTGGACTCAGCACCTTTCCGAGAAATGATGGCTTGTGCCGCGCCGCGGTGGAGAGTGCCAAGCCGGCATTTCTTCGCCAAAAAGGCAGTGACAGCCCGGCATTCACATGTAGAAGAGATGGTGGGCCAGTCTTTGAGCATGTCGGTCTCTGCCAAAGTGCACGGCAGCGCCGACGTGTGGAGCTGTAACTACGGTCAGGGACAGTACATGTCATTTACGGCCCACTGGGTGAACGTGGTGCCGGCACAGCCGCACCAGCAACTTGGACAGGTCACGCCGCTTTTGCCTCCACGTTTGCACGTCCTTGGTCCACAAAAGATGTCCGCCTCTACCACCTCTTCTTCCGCCGTGTCCTCAGCCGCCACCCCCGTGCCAAGTCCCATTACCCCGACCGGCATATCACATGTGCAGGGCGCAACGGTGTCACGCTGTGCTGCACCTGGTATGCTTTGGCGAACGTAGTCACACAGGGGAGGAACTTCTGAGTGTAATGAACAGAGAAATCGACAGATGGCTGTCTCCGCGCAAACTGAAAATCGGAACCATGTTGACCGACAACGGAAAGAACATGGTGTCTGCTCTGCGTCAAGGAAGGTTGTGCCATGCGCCATGCATGGCTCACGTGTTCAATCTGGTTGTCAAGCGGTTCCTAAAATCCACCATCCCACTGCAAGACATCCTTAAAATGTCACGTAAACTTTGCATGCATTTCAGCCATTCCTACACCGCAAAGCACACCCTCCTTGAGCTGCAGCGGCAGAACGGAATTCCACAGCATCGCCTGATCTGCGACGTTGCAACAAGGTGGAATTCAACCCTACACATGTTAGACCGCCTTTACGAACAGCGAAAGGCCATCACCGATTTCCTGATGTTACAAGCGGATAAAGGTACTCCCCTGTGTAACTTCGATGATGTCAGCCACATGGGCTGTCATACGGGCCCCCGTGCCAGGGAAAATTGTTCCATTTTTTGTCATAGGGTGCTGGCAGATTCGGCAGACTACGGGGCCTCCCATTGCTGCTGCCAGGCCTGTAATCTGCCATGGGCCCCTGTACCGCCTCCTCATGCTGCTGCAGGTCCCAGGCCTGTAAGTGTCTCATGGGTCCTTGTACACGGCCTCCCATTGCTGCTGTCTCCATCGCCACACTCTGCCATGTGCCACTTTCAGGTCTCCTCACACTGCTGGTGTGTTCCATTTTGTCATAGGGTGCTGGCAGATTACGGGCCTCCCATTGCTGCTGCCAGGCCCGTAATCTGCCATGGGCCCCGTACCGCCTCCTCATGCTGCTGCCAGGTCCAGAGTGTCTCATGGGTCCCTGTACGGCCTCCCATTGCTGCTGTCTCCATCGCACACACTCTGCCATGTGCCACTTTCAGGTCTCCTCACACTGCTGGTGTGTTCCATTTTTTGTCATAGGGTGCTGGCAGATTACGGGCCTCCCATTGCTGCTGCCAGGCCCGTAATCTGCCATGGGCCCCTGTACCGCCTCTCTCATGCTGCTGCCAGGTCCAGAGTGTCTCATGGGTCCCTGTACGGCCTCCCATTGCTGCTGTCTCCATCGCCACACTCTGCCATGTGCCACTTTCAGGTCTCCTCACACTGCTGGTGTGTTCCATTTTGTCATAGGGTGCTGGCAGATTACGGGCCTCCCATTGCTGCTGCCAGGCCCGTAATCTGCCATGGGCCCCTGTACCGCCTCCTCATGCTGCTGCCAGGTCCAGAGTGTCTCATGGGTCCCTGTACGGCCTCCCATTGCTGCTGTCTCATCGCCACACTCTGCCATGTGCCACTTTCAGGTCTCCTCACACTGCTGCTGGTGTGTTCCATTTTGTCATAGGGTGTGGCAGATTACGGGCCTCCCATTGCTGCTGCCAGGCCCGTAATCTGCCATGGGCCCCTGTACCGCCTCCTCATGCTGCTGCCAGGTCCAGAGTCTCTCATGGGTCCCTGTACGGCCTCCCATTGCTGCTGTCTCCATCGCCACACTCTGCCATGTGCCACTTTCAGGTCTCCTCACACTGCTGGTGTGTTCCATTTTTTTGTCATAGGGTGCTGGCAGATTACGGGCCTCCCATTGCTGCTGCCAGGCCGTAATCTGCCATGGGCCCCTGTACCGCCTCCTCATGCTGCTGCCAGGTCCAGAGTGTCTCATGGGGTCCCTGTACGGCCTCCCATTGCTGCTGTCTCCATCGCCACACTCTGCCATGTGCCACTTTCAGGTCTCCTCACACTGCTGGTGTGTTCCATTTTTTGTCATAGGGTGCTGGCAGATTACGGGCCTCCCATTGCTGCTGCCAGGCCCGTAATCTGCCATGGGCCCCCGTACCGCCTCCTCATGCTGCTGCCAGGTCCAGAGTGTCTCATGGGTCCCTGTACGGCCTCCCATTGCTGCTGTCTCCATCGCCACACTCTGCCCATGTGCCACTTTCAGGTCTCCTCACACTGCTGGTGTGTTCCATTTTTTGTCATAGGGTGCTGGCAGATTACGGGCCTCCCATTGCTGCTGCCAGGCCCGTAATCTGCCATGGGCCCCTGTACCGCCTCCTCATGCTGCTGCCAGGTCCAGAGTCTCTCATGGGTCCCTGTACGGCCTCCCATTGCTGCTGTCTCCATCGCCACACTCTGCCATGTGCCACTTTCAGGTCTCCTCACACTGCTGGTGTGTTCCATTTTTTGTCATAGGGTGCTGGCAGATTACGGGCCTCCCATTGCTGCTGCCAGGCCCGTAATCTGCCATGGGCCCCTGTACCGCCTCCTCATGCTGCTGCCAGGTCCAGAGTGTCTCATGGGTCCCTGTACGGCCTCCCATTGCTGCTGTCTCCATCGCCACACTCTGCCATGTGCCACTTTCAGGTCTCCTCACACTGCTGGTGTGTTCCATTTTTTGTCATAGGGTGCTGGCAGATTACGGGCCTCCCATTGCTGCTGCCAGGCCCGTAATCTGCCATGGGCCCCAGTACCGCCTCCTCATGCTGCTGCCAGGTCCACAGTGTCTCATGGGTCCCTGTACGGCCTCCCATTGCTGCTGTCTCCATCGCCACACTCTGCCATGTGCCACTTTCAGGTCTCCTCACACTGCTGGTGTGTTCCATTTTTTGTCATAGGGTGCTGGCAGATTACGGGCCTCCCATTGCTGCTGCCAGGCCCGTAATCTGCCATGGGCCCTGTACCGCCTCCTCATGCTGCTGCCAGGTCCAGAGTCTCTCATGGGTCCCTGTACGGCCTCCCATTGCTGCTGTCTCCATCGCCACCACACTCTGCCATGTGCCACTTTCAGGTCTCCTCACACTGCTGGTGTGTTCCATTTTTTGTCATAGGGTGCTGGCAGATTACGGGCCTCCCATTGCTGCTGCCAGGCCCGTAATCTGCCATGGGCCCCTGTACCGCCTCCTCATGCTGCTGCCAGGTCCAGAGTGTCTCATGGGTCCCTGTACGGCCTCCCATTGCTGCTGTCTCCATCGCCACACTCTGCCATGTGCCACTTTCAGGTCTCCTCACACTGCTGGTGTGTTCCATTTTTTGTCATAGGGTGCTGGCAGATTACGGGCCTCCCATTGCTGCTGCCAGGCCCATGCTGCTGCCAGGTAATCTGCCATGGGCCCCCGTACCGACTCCTCATGCTGTGACGTTGCAACAAGGTGGAATTCAACCCTACATATGTTAGACCGCCTTTACGAACAGCGAAAGGCCATCACAGATTCCTGATGTTACAAGCGGATAAAGGTACTCCCCTGTGTAACTTAGATGTCAGCCATTGGCAGCTCATGCGTGACACCTGCCGCTTGCTCAGGCCCTTTGAGGAGGCCACGCTATTCGTGAGTCGGCAGGACTATGGGATGAACGACGTCATTCCTCTGTTGCACGTCCTGGAACAAATGCTGTTAACAATGGCTGGTCAGGGTGCGGTAGACGTGGCGCACAGATCTCAACGCCACATGACCCCTGTGGGGTCAGGACAGGAAGAAGAGGAGGAGGTAGAGGAGGACATTGGTGCTCAGGAATTATTGAGTGAAATGGGTGGTTTTTCCACTCAGCGGACAGGAGTGGAGGAGCAGGAGCATCTGGTAGAGGAGGAGGAGGAGGAGACAGAGGACCCAGACGCACCGTGGCAGTATTCTGTGGAGATGGAGGCAGGGAGTCCCTCGCATTCCTTGGCACAAATGGCCCATAGCATGCTCGGTTGCTTGCGTAGCGACAGCCGAATAATAACCATCAGACAGAGGGATGACTTTTGGCTGTCCACCTTGTTGGACCCTCGCTACCGTTCAAAAATGGTGGCCTTTTTCACACCTGCTGAGAGGGAGGCCAAAATAACGTACTATAAAAACCACCTATGTAGTCAGTTGGTCTCTGCCTTTCTGCGCCAACGTCCATCCTCAGACACTGTGGGCCCTGTGCGCTCGCGTTCCGCTGCCATGGCAGCAGGGGAGGGGTGGGGTGGTAGGAGCAGTGGCAGCTCCACCAGCAGCGGCTGCCTCAGTCTGCAGTCGATGATGAGTAGCTTTCTTCACCAGCGCAGTGAGGAAACTACTAACCAGCCGCAGCAGCAGCATCAGGTGGACCTGGAGCAGGACCTCAAACAACAGGCTTGGGCCTACTTGGACAGCACCCTGCCAACCGAGGTAGAGCCAATCCCCTTGACTACTGGGCAACGAAACTTGACCTTTGGCCGCAACTAGCTGAATTTGCACTTGAAAGGCTGTCATGCCCGGCCAGTAGCGTGGCATCGGAGCGCGTGTTTAGTGCGGCAGGAGGTATTGTAACTCCGCGGAGGACACGACTGTCCACCCAAAGTGTGGAGAGACTCACGTTTGTGAAAATGAATCAGGCGTGGATTAGTCTGGATTTCAAACCACCAGTTCCTGACACAACTGACTAAATCCGCCATGAATCATGCCCCAAACATGTGCCACTTTCAGGTCTCCTCACGCTGCTGGTGTGTTCCATTTTTTGTCATAGGGTGCTGGCAGATTACGGGCCTCCCATTGATGCTGCCAGGCCCGTAATCTGCCATGGGCCCCCGTACCGCCTCCTCATGCTGCTGCCAGGTCCACAGTGTCTCATGGGTCCCTGTACGGCCTCCCATTGCTGCTGTCTCCATCGCCACACTCTGCCATGTGCCACTTTCAGGTCTCCTCACACTGCTGGTGGGTTCCATTTTTGTCATAGGGTGCTGTATGGCCTCCCATTGCTGCTGCCTCCACCGCCACACTGTGGCTCCCACACTCTGGTTTTGGCCCCGTGACTGCCCAAATGAGTGAAGTGTGCGGTGATTCTAAGATCGACGGCACTCATCTGCATGTCATACTGACTGACAGTATTATTTCTCTTCCCCAGCAGACTCCAAGGGCATTTAAATTAAAGGTACAGTGTTCTGCACTAATATGAAGGCTCTCTGAAGCCTAGAAACACCCTTTTATAAGTTAAATTCGCAGCGAATATATTCGCATCGAATCGAATTTATTCCTCGAATTCGCCGAATCAGCCTAATCGAATTTTTGAATACTTCGCTCATCTCTAGTTGTAGTATCTGAGTTCAAGTACGATCCTTTCAAAGTATTTAACATTCATAATTAGCTAATGTTATCATTTAGTGCAATTTTAGTCCAATTTGGTATTTATTCAGCAGTTTCCCTGTATTAAAACTTTTCTACTGCTTCTGGTTTAATGGTTAATAACACAAGGTACTCTTACACCTCGCTCCTTGCATTGCCATTGGAATTTTTTCTTTTCAAGAAAAGAGATCACATTGGCTATAGGAGAACCCTCAGATTAAGTGAAAGAAAGGCTTTGACAACACAAAAAAATTACTTCATATTATATTGGTATAATAACAGTTTTCATCCTAAAATAGTAAACTGAAAAAAGAAGCCAGGCATTATATTGCAACAATTGGACCAATATTTTGTGCACAGCCAGGTGCATGAGTAATTTTTTGGCAGCCCAGAAGTGACCACTGGGACAGTGGGATGGCAACAGTCATTAAATATAACTAAAGCGCTCAAATCCCAAAATGGTGACAATGATAATGGGTTCTAATTAGTTCAGGAGTGTATCTCTGTCATTTATACAAGGCAGCAGCTTCCACCATTTTGGGGAGTTAATTTAAGCACTTTACTTGTGTTTAATGACTATAATCCTAAAATGAAGAATTTTTCAGTATAGTTTTTGGTGGTAGAGGTAAAAACTTAACTGTGCAACAATGTTATCACTAAACTTATTTGTGCTAAATACAAAATACTTATCTTCATTTGCTTAGATACCGTAAGTCCCAACCTTTTTGTTCCAACCCAACAATGTATGTTAAACTTAGATTAGAGCAGCAACATGACATACTGTTCTACCATGACAGTCTTGTTCAATTTATGGCTATTAGGTTACTTTGAAAATGCACAACACAGAGTGCCCTGCCAGACACACGCTATATAGGGACACGTGATATGCCAGGACTTCCAGAAAAGCAATATATACCCAATGTATGGCTTTCTAGCTGTTAAGGAACCACAAGACTCAGTATTCACCATAAGCTTCACCCTATGTCCATGTAAAAGGTGGCAGGGCATGCTCAATCCTCTGTAAATACATGTCCCAGCATACAATTCCAGTTTAGTTCTGTATTTATGACATGGGACTGACAAAAATTACCATAGCTTGTAGATCTATAGTGTCCAAAAATATGTTAGGAGATGATAGTGTTGAGTAATAAACTCCAGAATGTCCTTTGTCGATTTTTTTTTTATGCCATACATACAGCATCTGGAAGGCATGATATGCTCTATCTTGTCACTTTTTTTTTGTGGTGTTTGGATGTGTTCCAGCTCATTTCTGTGCAGAAATTATTGCAGCAGTGTCTAACATTTTTTTTTCATGCAAAACCTCAAAGTATGGTGTGCTAGGTCCATTTGAGTACCGGGAAAACTCTTTGCATGCATTTTTCATGATGAAAAAAGGCTCTGGACAGCATTTGGAAATGGAAGCGTTAAAAAAAAAATTGCAAACGCCTATAAGCGCTTGTAGCCGTATTTAGCTGTGTTTACAAGCATTTTGCATTTTAAACGCTGATAAAATCTACTGCTGAACGCTGAAGTTTTCTGCATTAAAAAAAACGACTGTAAACTCAACTGCCTGTAAACGACTGTGTACATGGACACATAGGAAAACATTAGGGTGAGTTCAGGGGCTGCTGAAAAAAACACTGGACAGCTCCTAAATGTGAGTTTATCAGCTGCAGTGTACATGAGCCCTTAGGGTAACATGTAAATGTTCAGCACTCCCCCTTCCCCTATCTTCATTGATCTTCCTGCTCCCCCTATCTTCATTGATATTCCTGCTCTCCAGTAACTGTCTGCACATATGATGGGTACAGGCAGACATCTATTCTGAGGGTCTACAGGAGCCTGACATTGCACCTGTTATCTATTGATTGTGGATGCAATGCTCTACAGGCTCCTTAGAAAAACAATAATAAATGCACATTTTTTTTAACCTACAAAACATGTGCACTTATTATATTTTTTTTTTTTCAAAAGGTAAACTTAATAAGCTCCATGAAAAACATTTTTTCAAAGTAAACAACATATATTCCTTTAATAAATAGACTCCATTGTTATGGAATTCTGAAAATATCTCAGAAAATTTAGAAATCATTCCAGAAGCAGGATTATTTCTACAAATAAAATGACACAAAAT